CGAAAAACGTGCTTCAAAATTTACAATGGGATGAAAAGTCTACTTGTGTTGGTTGGAATGGTCGCCCCCGGAAACATCACCCCCCAGGCTAAACGTGACGTCACGAAACCAGACAACCAGCTGGTATAAAATCTATGTCCGCGACCGGAATCGTACCCCCCAAGGGCTTGACAAGACATTTATCAAAGTCTAGTTGATATGAACTAATTATGTTATTAATTTTAATTCAAACAAGGAGAAACGGAAAGGTCTTCCCCGGCAAGACACCCCCTATGTACACCCCGGAATCGTCCCCCCCTGAAACGCTACCCCTAGTAGGGCTGGGCTGCTCGGCAGCCTACCTGCTGCCCGTCCTCCCCAGCCCATTGTTCTGAGGGTCGGCCGCTCATTCATTTTTATTGTCGCTTGGACAACCACTTTTCTACAGAAAAATAACAGACGCTGTGGTGGAATATCAATCAGTAGAACCATAAAACATAAAACCATAACAACTAAATATATGGACGTAGTTTGAAATAGTTTTTAAGTTTAACCATAGACTGCAGGACTTATTACTTCCAGGGCAAAGCCGGAATTGTATATTTTTATTTAAACATCTGTTAACTAAGTCTGGCTCATAAATAAAGAGTTTCATAGCAAGACCTAACAACAAAGTATTATAGGCGTTATTTTAAAACGAATAACAGTCATTATTTCCGATGACTTTAAAAGAGTCGACTCAAAGATTATGGAGTCGATTTTTTAGTGTTTTCTACAAATGTTTCCCACTCATAGCCGCATTAGGATGTCCATAACAAGGATTATAAATAATAAAAAGAATTATTTTCACTTTTTTTACTTAGTAATGTTCTATAAATTTCCTATGTTTCCATAGTTTGCAAATCGGCTCTTTCAATTATATAATCGGCACAGGGTTAATTTTATTTTTTTATATATTAAATTGACTATAGGCTTTCTCGCTTTTTTCATTGTAATATTTACGAAAACCCAAATCCAAATAGTAAACATTTCACTTCAACCAAGTCTTTTGTTACACAGTGACTTTTCCTTAAATTGCAACAAAAATATTAACAGCTTATTTAATTATTCAGCTGATCATAATGTAAACAAATATGTTCTTCATAAAGATGACGTGGGTACTTTAAAAGCCACTGGGGCAGAGTGCAAGGGACTTTTCAAAAATTAAGTTCAGTTTGCAAATCTAGCCCCTAAACAAACATTTTGGTATATAATATGTGGCATTAAATCTTAAACTAAAAAAGCATTATTGTTCACACATTTTCACGTAGCGTATTAATAATATAGATATATATATGCTATCTGACATTTGATACTATTTGATTTTTAGTGTATACTAAAAATCCTTATGTTGACCAAAGGATAATTCAAGATTCGATCCTGAACCCTCCATTTTTGGAACACCCTGTGATTGGATCTTACTTTTTACAAATTGCATTAAAATTTTTAAAATCTGTTTAAAACTCTATGACGGGTTCTGTTCACAAATTAACCCCTTCCAAATTAATTATGTACATAGGCTACATAACACTGATAATTATGAATTATATGTACGAATTATAGAAGAAAGATGAAACTGACTTTAAAAATACTAGCTATTGGCAAGCTACATTTTAGTTGGATTTAATATTTAGTAAATAGCCTAACTATAACTACATTTATAACTAAACTTTTCCTTAACAACTATGTTAAACACACGTATTTGGTTCTGGTATTTTTGGGAGGGATACCTGAAGTGGGGAAGTCTAAGCTATTAAAAAAAAAATACATCCCGCTATAAATACAGTTGTATTCCACGAACTAATAGTCTCCAAATTACAGACGAATTCCATTATTAATCAATACTCTGAGAATAGTGGATACTATACTTAGAATTATTATGTTCTCTTGCAAACTTTTAAGTTCTACGTATTAAATATTCTGCGAACGACAGGTAGATTTAAATGTGTAACTTTTCAAAACAAAAGGCGACCGTTCATTGAATAACTCTACTACTTCAATGTAAATTTAGTTATTTAAAATCAGCAGTGTGAAATGATGAAATAAAGTGAATGTGACACTGTTGCTTGTTTCCCGTCAACGTAAACGTAAACAGTGTGAACTATTTTCCGTTTATTTCTGAAGAAACTAACCAATATTTACTTTCTAAACTATTTTTACGGGAAAGAGTCATTCCCCAATATCAAATCAGGAATATTCTCAATGCGTTTATTTAACCATAAAATCCAGATAATCTTTTTAAATGGATATTATATACAACATTTATTGGTCAATGTTTACAATTTAAGTATTAGGAAATGTGAAAATGTTTGTCAAGTGTGTACTGTATTATGATGTAGCGTGGTTAAAGCATGCTCATATTATTACGAGTTGATTCTCTACTTAATTATTTACTTATATTACTATAAACATTTTATTTCATTTCCACGTGTTTCAAATACATTTTGTACGTTGACGGAAAAAAACTATATGTAACTAGCAGAGTATCTGTCCTTCGTACGAAATAGTATGTAGACAAACACTAACGAACAATATTTTTGTAAACAAACAACTCGTAACATAAACATTTCAATGACAGTTATAAACCAGCTGTTAGTTAAACCAGCATTGAAAATACTTTAAATTGCTAGCGTCGGCTGCTAGACTTTTTAAAAATTAAAACTTAATTTCTAAAAAACTGAAACCCAAAACTAAAATTATCGCTTCGACATTCCCTAGTTCTCAAAATTATATTTCTTTCAACACTAAAATCATGAAAATCCGTCAAGTGGTTGATTCAGAATCGTGAAATAAAAAAACCCTGTTTCGTTTTAATATTATAGATACTCATAAGGTTAACATGGGGAACTACAGAGCCACTGGGGCGGAGCCCGAAAGGGTTTTCGAAATAAGAACATGCTTATATGTTATTCGGGAATGTGAGCTATTATGTCAATTTCAGCCCAATCCGTCCAGTAGTTAATGCGTGATTGAACTTCAAACAAACAAACAAACTTTCACATTTATAATATTAGTAAGATTTATACATTTTATGTATAAAATTAACGAGAAATGTCTAGAGAAAGCACAATATCGAAGTGTTAATTTGTATTTATCTTAATATCGACAAAATTTGCGTAATAATACAAAATCCTTCCCATTCATGCAAGTTAAAATCCTTCACATTCACGAGAGTTCAGTCGAGCGGTGGTAATATGGGACAGTCTCCACCCTTGTGAACATTAGCTGGCTCGAGTCACGAGCCCAAGCCCTACAGCAGGTATACCGGGGGTGATCATGGCAGGGGGGACCTTTCCGGGGTGTGCATTTTGAAAGCGATCGGGGGTAACGTATCCGGTTAACATAAATTGTAATTAGAAAATCTGGTAATTGTATATGATAAGTGGATATAGTTATCTAATTAATACGCAAACTCTAAAATAACTCGCCATATTGACGAGTGCATGCTGCAACTGAAATTGAGTGTCCGCGGCCGGAAACATCACCCCCCGGTCTCTGACGTCAATATGACGTAGGGGGGTGATGTTTCCGGGGGCGACCTTTCCGCGTCCCCGTTATTAGAAGACTGCAGTCACTGACATAACGCAGGGACAACAACAATTCCCTTTTCCCCAGACCCGTAGCGGCTACCTGGCCGGGCGCTCGGGGCAATTTCAGCATTTCTGGTATGGCGAGGTGACCCTTCTTGATGCTCTGTAATGAGCGGGGCAGTTTCATCATTTAAAACTTACCTAAAATATCGGGGCAGTTTCATCGTTCCCGAGTGACCAGTGTACAGGAAGTCTCAATAGTCCTTTCGTACGTTACTCCGAACTCCAATGTTCTTTTGTTTAAAGAATCTCATTCCAAAAATGGCCATTCCAGTTGTAGGTGTAGAGATTATGTGAGAAAGATTAATTTTTATAAATTATATGTGTATTATATGCGTAGTAAAAAGCTTTTATATTCATTCATTCAAGGTTTTTAGTGAATTTCCCTATAGGGAAGTAGCTATTGCCGTAGGTAGGACGGTAAGACCTAGGCCCGGGACCGATTTACTTTTTCATTCTGCCTTTACCATGGTCAGCTCCGAAGCTCATTAAGATGAGAAATTTCCAAAAGGGATCTACAATTTTAAGATCCGTGACACGTTTTACCACCGAGTGGGTCCTCTAATTCCTCAAGAAAGTGATGATCCTGAATTTGCACAGATATATAAGTAAGTAGGACAATGTCACTAGAACACAAAGGAGAATTAAGCACAATTCAAACAAAAAATGCTATGAAAAAATATGCGGGAAATAGGGTTACAATGCCAACCCATTTGCAAATCTTTGAAGACTGGCAGACCAGCGAGCACAGTGGCAGACAGTAGGGACGAGAGCTCCGAGGAGCCAAGTGAGATTCTTATGTACATAATAAGAGACAGAAGAAGTGTCTTACAATGGTGCTACCTGTGTCGCGGCAATTTTTAAAGCAGAAAACAAAGCACCATCTGGCCAAATAAATCATATAGTTTTTTCCAACACTAATCTGCAAGCAGTTTTCTTTTCACAGTCATAACTCGATAACGGCTTGACGTATTTTGACGTTTGAGGTGTCAAATTAAAGACATTTTCACGTAGATGTGCAAATGACGTAGGGGGGTGATGTTTCCGGGGGCGACCTTTCCGCGTCCCCGGTTAGTCTATGCCAATACTCTACAATCTATCATATGATTTGTTTAACAGAAACTTTAAGATGCTCATCCATCTGTTTTTATTTTGAACAGTTTAACCCGAGAAACCCTTGACCAGGCGGCAATTCAATCAAAGAGTTTTGCGTTTTACAGTTTTTATGCAATTGTTTATAAATTCTAAGTAAGTAACCACAACCGTAGATTAAAGAGTATACCAACTTCTAGAACTAAAAAGAGTTGCATGGTTTTTATACCATATCAGATTGACGCCTGGCTTCGGCACATAGAGAAAAGAAGGTGAAGGCATAACTTGGATAACTGTTTGTTTTCTTTAACGAAATGTCAAATTGAGTATTTATTTTAATTTAATAATTTATTGAAACAGGATTGAAAATAATGAATGTTTTGTTGTGACAATCATTACTTGACAGTTATTAAAACACAACCTAACCAATGAACTCTATAAAAAATTATACTAAAAGTATCATTTGAAACCATTACTCACTTAAGTGCTAAGCTAGGCCTAATTTTTAACCTACAAGCATGTCGGGTTTCGTTTGTGTCCATGTTGGTAATGTATAGTATTTACATCATCTAGTAATTATTAAACACATAACACATCTTAATTTTAAGATTTTTCACCAACTATAACAGGTTAAACAAGTGTACCATAACATAAAATTATCTTGTGTCATCTGAGTGTAGGCTAGATCTAAGTTTTAAAAGATAAGTTACTGTAGCCTAGCTTGTTCACTCAAAAAACCAATAATTTCAAATTGAAACTATTAACTTAACGGATTCAGTGGATAGTATTAATCCACATAGTTATAGGCATGCACTGTGGATGCGATACTCCCTGGTGTGGATTAACGTCCACACGAGTGAGTACTACGACTATCCGCAGTACTATCCTGATCATTAGACCAATTCGTATATACCAAGGCAAAAATGTGGTTCGTATTCCACTATAAACTGTAGGTCCCTAGTTGTCATTAGCTGTATGGGCTATTAATTAACAGCTGTGTCCAAGGAATGTCGGCCTAAGTCACTAACAAGACTACAAGATCGCGACACTCATCCTACACTCATCTCCATTCATACTTGGCTTAAATACCTACTTTTTTATGGTCGCCATTTCATGAAAAAGTATTTAAGTATTAAATGTATAACTCCTTGACCATGTCTATATGCTCCTTTAAAAGTTGATTAAATTGTACCATAGGCTATATTTAGTTTGTAGGTCTAACAATATGTGAAGTATCCTAATTAAAAGACAGTGGGATGTTTCAGTATAAGTGACATTGGACATGCCAAGCCAAAGGTAGGCTAACTGTTAAACCTATTGGTCCCTATTCATTTGATGTACAGTTCAGCTTCGTTAAGTCAGACCAGGCAGGACTGTGGCCGATTCGACATAGATAGGCATAAACTTCTAGTGGTAGCCAGAGAGAGAGAGCAGAAAACAACCAAAATGATAACGAAGCAATATACTTTTAAAATATTTAAGTTACTTACCGCTAGGCCTACATCACAAACAAAAAAACAACGAAAATTACTCATGAGTCACGACGCAGGCATGCATCTCTACAGTCAGGCATCAAAATGTACAGTCATGGAAAACGTCTGTTGCGCGAAAATGACATAAACTGTACCACTATGCGCTCGGTAAAATCACGCCACCAAAATTGTTTACTAATTTGTCTTTATGCTTGTTTATTTCATACCAATCTGGGTTTTTTTTACTTAAGGGGGGTAACTTAACAAAGAGGCACTCTGCCAGTAAGTTTAACAAAATTAAACACAATCTTTTGAGTCGCTATTATTTGATGTATGCATATCAATAATTTTAACTGATTGTGGGCATAAAGTTGATGCAATAGATATCATGAACCACTAAATCTGAGATAGGTAGTCTTTTTTTCATAGCCTACACATATGGTAGCCTAAAGTAATTTTGACATGTTCTAGGAGCAGGTCAGCATTCAAATAATTTAGGATTGAGATATGAACAGCTCTGTCGAGAAGCAAGTAAACAAGTAAGTGTCCTCCTCCCCTTAATTTATTCAAAAAATACTTCAACAGAACAAATAATTTATCTGAGTTTTGATGTGACATTCTAGTTCTTAAAATAATTTTGTTTCTAGGGAATAGATGTTCTAAAGAGAGGAGGTTCTGCAATTGACGCTGTTGTGGAAGCTACAATGCTGCTGGAAGATTCTCCGTTGACCAACTCTGGGTTTGGCTCCAACCTGAGCTGGAACGGACAGGTCGAGTGTGACGCGAGTGTCATGAATGGGGAGAATTTCTCGTTTGGAGCTTGCGGTGCTGTTGCCGGTGTGAAGAATCCTGTCGCACTTGCTAAACATATCTGTCAACAGCAACTTGTTAGTTTGCCTCTCGGACGTGTTCCTCCCAGGTAAAATGAACATCTTAAACATAAAAATTACAGCCTTCACTCACTCATTGACTGACTCATTCATCACTAATTCTCAAACTTCCTGACTAGCTAGAATGCTGAAATTTGGTAGGTAGGCCCTACTCATTATTAAGGATACAAATAGGAAAGTTAAGCTGTGTTCATAATGATTTTACTGAAATAGAGTTGCTCTCTTGGAGCCTAGGTGACCCTACTCATAAAACAATTACAAAAATGTTAATCTTGATTTGTTGGCTACTCATCATATAAATAAATTTATACACATTTTTTTGTAAATTGTGTATAAATTTATTTATATGATGAGTAGCCAACAAATCAAGATTAACATAAATAATACCATCAAGAAAAAAACATACAGGAATGAATTACAAAAATACAAGGATAAATTCTGATCTCATAGTGCACCAGCTATTTCAATTACAATTCCTTTGGTAGGCCTATTTGACCAAATATTTCAATGGGGTGATAAATTTTAACCCTTCAGTGACTGTTTAAAATCGTTGAAATTAACATTGCTCTTATTGTGGGCAAATCCAAGATGGCAGTCAGCTTCCAAGGACTCCTTTGGAAAACAATTATAAAACCACAAAGAAAATTTCTGATCTCATAGTGCCCTATATAACCTATTTAAATTACAATCACTTTGGTATTTGGAACAATATTATGGGATAGTAAATAGCTCCTCAGCAGCTGTTTTAAATTAATCCAAGATGACCGCCAGCCTCCAAGGGCTCTTAAAATCCCAATATTTTTCCTATGAGCATTCAAGGGGGTTTAAATTTTGAGACAAGCTTTAACCTTGCGATTACCAAAAGCACACGCGGAGATTGCACAATCGAAGATTAAAATTTTGTTGGGACTAAGGGAACGAAGTCTCCGTGACGTCGAAAGATTTTCACAATATCTCCAGGTGACCACAAAAGACGTTATGATTTTGATGCGGTTGCAGAAGACGGAAATGATTTTTAAACGCAGAAGATTTTCACGATTTTTCTGCGATCTCGGTAGATGATAATGATGTCCCCACAATCACAAAAGATATTCACTACGGTATTTATTCGCAACAGCGGGAAAGGAGGATGATGTTCCCATAAACAAGGAAGACGTTCACAATTTTGTGGCGATGGCAGGAGATGTAGGAGATGACTCTGGGATCGCAAAAGATGTCCACGATTCCCTCGTAACCGAGGACATTCATTTTCAATTTAGTTTTGTGGTCACAATTTCACTGCATAAAACCCCTAATATTATAAGGCCTATACGAAAACTTTATTAGCTAGTTTCCTAGGTCTATTTGCTGATCGGTAGAAAACAAAGTGTCGAGTTCATCATGTTGATGGAGCTCCAGAATTCTGTTGTCTGTTAACTAAAGAATCAGAATGCAGGGGACTTTCTAGTGTAAGCTACTGTGGGCCTCATATCTTCTAAATTTGGAACGGTTAGAATTTTTTTTTGTTATTCCTTTGGATCTAGTGACTTCAAATAAGTAGGGTTTTGATAATAAGTAGGTCTACACATTCAAATAAGTATATTTTTTCAAATTAAATTATAGAGTACAGTATTTTTTAACACGCAACAGCGCCACTTTATACACTGCACTAGATTGTCTTGGGAATTTCAACTCATTACGGTACCTGAAAAAAGAAGAATGTTAACATGTGGTAACATTAAGTTTTGTTTCTTAAATGGATGTAGTAATAATAGTAGATATAACTTATTTCATACTGCAGTTCTAAGAAGTACGTAATTATTCTCTTTCGCGTCCTCTTCCTGTTGCGAAGCATGGGCTTAGCAGCTTGTAAAGTTTCAAAGTGTTTGGCTGCTATGTTTTTACTACTTCTCTTTTTGACACCACAGATTATTTTTGTCAATTCTAATTATCCTTCAGTAGCCTACTTTATATTTGTGTTGAACACACTTTAAATATGTGCGTGCAGTTTGTCTAATTTTCTTTCTTTTAAAAATCCGAATGTTGGATTTTCACGGAAAAAGTACCTTCACCTTTTTGGTGGCGTTTGGACATCTCCTCAAATGGATAAAGGTTCATACATTCTTTATTTTACCACATATTTGACCTATGGAAGCTATATTTGATGTGGAAAGTGAATAGGGACCTCTTGTTGGGAAGATAGATAGATAGATAGATAGATAGATACGTCAGTCAAAGAGTTGTTAACCATGTTTTGTACAACTTTTAAAGACTAAGATCTTGGAAGAGGGGTGTCAAAGTTCACTTACAAAACACTCCTCTTCAGGCAAGAATTTTTATTATCGGAGTCTGAAGATGACATTCGCGTCAAAATGTGCACAATCCAGTAGACTAAACTTGGACCACAAGGCGACAACAAATCATTTTAAATTTTTATTTGTAAAAGAATTGAATTTAAAAAGATGCTATAAACATTGAAAATTGAGTTTATTATTAGTAATACTGTATTAATTTAGGCTATATGTTAGTAAATAAACTTGCATTGGTTTACTCCAATTATTCCCTATTGCCAAACCATAACATCAAGTAAATTATCTGGAATCGGTGTGAAATTTAATGTTACCTTTTTTCAGTCTGTTAGCAGGAGAAGGTGCTTTCAAGTATGCCATAGAAAACAACATCACAATAGTTGATTGTGATTCACTTATTAGCGGTTAGTATTTTCTGATTTTTTTCTTTTGAAGGTGGACAATAGACAGCATTTGTTTTATTACACTCTTTTTTTATTATGTATTGGGTGTTATAAGATGGTCCACTTTTTTAGAAATATGTTGATATTGGACAATATATTCATTTTGCCCTTGAAGTTCTTCATCGATGTCTTCATCTCTTGCATCACCTTCTAGTAATCGATCATATAATGATGAATTTAGGTCGTTGAGAATGTAAGAATGATTATTTATTACTTCAAGCTGTGCTGATACTTGTATAAAATCAACTATTTCTTTCTTTAAAATATCTTCAAGTTTTTTAACTGTCACAGTAAATGTCCTTTGAATAGCCGATCTTGATTTCTTTAGTTTTTTGTCAGCAACTGTGGCTGTGTTATAATTTAGCACCCTTTAATAGCCTCTTTGTATCTTAAAATACAGTATCTGCTGGAGGAATGGTGCAAAGAACCGACAGCCAAGAGAAAGAGGTTGCTTCATACTGGTTTGTGGAATTATTTGGTGGCTTTATTCTCATGGCACTATTTATCTGGTTGTCAGTTTCATCAAACAAACATAATACTGATGAATGCTACAGACTCGTAATTTTTTCATTGTTACAGCGAGAGCATTAAAAATGTATAAACATTGCAAAAAGAGATTATCCTGGTACGATGAACACTCAGCAAAACTGATGAAAACCGAAGAGCAAATCAAACAAGAGGTAAATATATGTCTGTCAGTAGCCTAAATATTTCTTGGATATTTTTGTAACAGTAATGTAAAACAAAGTATTTTTGTTTGTCAAGATGCAGGAAGTGTTAGATACAGTGGGAGCAGTTTGTGTTGACTCTGCCGGGAACATTGCTGCAGCGTGTTCGAGCGGGGGAGTGTTGCTCAAACGAGAAGGAAGGATAGGTCAGGTGAGTTCTTGGCGTCAATCATCATTTCAATTAAGCATGATATCGGCCAACAATAACAAACTTTGAAAATCTGCTTCAATGTCTCTAATAACAATATGCAAATATTATGACCAGTAGCAACAGTAATGATTCTCAAGCATACGGTAAGATTTTTGGGTGCTATAACTTACCAACTAAAACTACGTTACTGCAGTATTCAAATCTGGTTATGGTTGTCCCAAAGATTCTCCTGAGCTTATTATATACCTAAAAATGGACTTCCTGAGAATTTATCATCACACTGCTCTGATCTTGACTCTATGGTGTATACTAATGTATCCCTATGGATATGAAGGGGTTTCAAGACATGCCTCAAGCTTCAGATCGATCAACTGGACAACGCAACACAATGAAACAGTTATAGTTCTCTGAGCAAATACTTTCTATCACACATGAATTCCCCCCAGTCATACATGGTGGTTAATTATTTCTTCAACATTGTTCATACATTAATGGGGATTAAGAGAAAGCATCAAGGGAAGGGGGAGATGTAATTCGTTGGAAGAGAACAATCTAAACTCAGTGCAGAACTTTATGTGAATCTAAATGATGTAATACGAGTTTGAGCAGTAAAAATGAAGTTGCATTAAAATTAATTGGCAGGTACTTTTACCAAAATCGTTTCAAGGCATTCTTTGCAATCTTAACACATTAACTACTTAGGTTAGGTACGATGGTTACTATCCGTCAGAAAAACACTTTCCTGGAAAACCTTACGTCTATAAGTCATACTCGGATGAAATAAAATATGATCCTAAGTAGGCCTACAATGATGTGTTATCTATCTTCATAGTTTAACTGAAGTAAAACGCTTTCATTTGTATATTTATTTTCATGAATTCATGTGTATTAACTATGATTTGACACCCCAAAGAGTATTTGCAAGATTTTGAATTGTGTGACACTATACTACATGTCCACAATCTAACAGTCATTTGCCATCAACTAATCTCTTCACTTTAAAATATGATTATCACATTTTTAAATAGGCCTATGTTTATACGATCATTAGGGAAGAAACAATATTAAAATTTATTCTTGTTCTGAGAGTGTTGGCACAAGGGCAACATTGTTGAGCAAGGGAGTAATTTACAAACAAAATTTACTACAATAAGTGAGCAAAAAAAGAGCTTACACCAGCTATAATCAAAAACTTTATCCTGCCCTGCTGATGCAATAAAGATCAGGAAAACCGGAATAGAATTTGAACATTCAACCCAACCTACAAAGTGAGCTTGACAACTGACACTGTTCTCAGGCAGGCATTCAAGGCGCAGGCTGCTGGGCTCAAGGTGACGTTGGAGTCGTAACAACGGGCTGCGGGGAACATCTCATATCCACCTGTCTCGCGCGGGAAGTAGCCAGAAACATTAAGTCTTCCAAATGTCCTATTACTGCCCTTCAAAACACAGTACGAGAGGACTTCTTGAGTAAGTAGATCAGAAAGCTCTGTAGCTGAATGGTTATAGTGTTTGCTTAGCAATAAACAAATGCTAGACCTAGTTCAACCAAGGCCACACTAAAAAAACAGGCCATAATGCTCGTCAAGCATGACGTCACGATAGAAGACAGCAATGACGTAATTAAGGTTATATTTTTGTTTTCGATGAAAAGAATAAAACAAGCAGCTGATCACAAACGGCAAACATTACGTCTTTGCCGTCTTCTATCGTGACCTCATGCTAGACGTGCATTACGGCCTGTTTTTTAGTGTGGCCATGGTTCAACCCTGATAAAAGTCAATAGGTTTTTGGTGGTTCGAAAATGAATCTAGCTGTCCGCTTGGATGGTCCTAGTTAAAGAAACTTGGCTGTTCCGGTTATTAACAAAACTTCACATTTATCTACACTCATTCTGCTTTCATATTCTGGTTAAATACCTACACAGCATATGATTTAGTTTTAGTTGTATTAAGTTGATGTTAAGGTTCTTGCTGGACAATAAGATAATACGAAGTGAGCTGTTTTAGTTGGTTAAGGCTAGGGTTTGATGTTGCATAAGCTTGGAGGCTACCAGTGGTGTAACAAATTTTCACGGGCCCAAATAAAATATTAAAATATGGGTTATGTTCTATAAAAGGTTGATTTGATGAAAGTGTTCACTACATCATTATATCAATATTAGTGCTTGTACATAGTTTTGAAATCAAATTTAAAAAAAACCCTTATTTTCCATCCGTCTATCAGAATGTTTATATCAAGGAGGTTAAAAATTTTACATTTAATTTATCACGCATGTTATCAATTTTTATTACCCTGATAATTAGACTAATTCGTTAATTACAAGGCAAAAATGTGGTTCGAATTCCCCAACTAACCCCCTTTAGTTGCCTTTTGCTGTATTGGCTATTAATTAACATCTGTGTCTAAGAAATATGTCGGCCTTAGTCCCTTTCAAAACTTAAAGGTTGGGCTACTCATCCTACACACTCATCTCCATTCATACTTGGCTTAAAATACCTACATTGGTATGATCGCCATTTCAAAGTAAAGTATTTAAGCCAATCTATCAGTTACCTATTTAAGATGGGTACGCCACTATGTGCGTATTTTAACCCAAATATGACTGAAGGATGAAAAAGTATTAATTTATTAGGTTAGTTTAATCTTTGGTTATAATTAACTCATACACTAAAAGCTGGTTAATTTAATAGATTGACATACTTTTATCACAGGCTATAATAGCCTATTGATTTTTTTTTTTTTTATCTTTATATTGATTCCAAGCGTCTTATTATGTTGTAAGCGTTTATCTTACAACAAATGTGTCTTTACTATTGGTTAATTGTGAGGTAAAATAAGATATGGGCTAACAAACACAGTCAGTAGAGTAGCAGTATATTGTATTTAACAAAATACAATCAATATTAGGACAAGACTAAAATGTAAAATAATACAATATTAAAAGCCCCAGCCAATGTTAATGACTTCAGGCTCCAAAGTAACAAAATGTTTGCAGACGACATAAGCAGTGTACGAAATCACCGAGAAGTAAAATATTTCTTGGTGACGAAAGTAAGATTGCATAATAATCAAAGACCCACGTTATAACACGTTAAATTTGTTACCCTAGTTTGTTATCACTGAAGAGGCCTAACGAAATTAAACAATAACTGATAACAACATATTATTGAATGATTGATAATACATTTAAAAAATAATGAACTCCAATTTTTCGGCCCCACTCGTCTCACGGGCCTCTCTGCTCACCGGTTCGCGGGCCCCCTCAGCTCCCGGGCCCCCCCGCATTGCGGGCCCTTCTGTTACGCCACTGACCAGTAGTTAGAATTGAGTAGCCTAGTGTACACAAAGTGTAATTTGTCCACATGGGTCTCAGACTTGTGTCTTATGTCTCTAGTTTTATTTAATAGTAAAGGGTATTACTAGCATTGTTTGCCTCATCAAGTTCTCAATCCTTTCCAACCAGAGTTGTATGTTTCAGACTCGCCACTTCTTAGCAGGGTGGAGGAGAAGCTAGCGGGAGTACTGGTCGTAAAGACCTACGAGGCAGGAAGAGGGGAGATGATCTACGCTCACACCACACAGTCAATGTGTATTGGCTATTCAACTACCAATCAAAAGAAACCAAAGGTACCTTTTAGTGGTCTTTACTGTTACCTATAACTATACATTGCAATAAGAGAAAGAGATAACTGGCAACAGTTCAACCTTAAGAGGGATAGAGGATAGAGCATGCTTGGTATATAGTATACTACACAGATGGAAGCCAAAAGGATGAGAGATCAGGGCTGGGGGTGTATGGCATCAAAACCAACATTTCCTTAGCCCTCAGGGAAGCGCAGCAACAGTATTTCAATCAGAGGTCCTAGCGATTGAGTGCTCTGCAAATGCCATCCTAGGTAAGAACCTGAGGAGGGGAAAAATAATGATCCTCTCAGATAGCCAAGCTGCTTTAAAGGCGCTGGGGTCATGTGTGACAGAGTCACAAACAGTAAAGGGGTGCAAAAACACCCTCAAAAAGCTAAGCGGAACCAAGTCAAACTAGCTCGGGTCCCTAGACATTCGGGGCATGAGGGGAATTAGAAAGCTGATGCTTTGGCCAGGAAGGGTGTGGAAGAACAACTGACAGGACCAGAACCCTACTGTTACACCCCAATAAGCTCAGGAGTAGCCAAAGTCCGAGGCTAGGTCAAGGTTCAAAAGGCTGAGGCCTGGAGAAACAACCCAGGAAATGAGGACGTCTAAAACATAAATCAACCCTACAATGAAAGACTGGACAGGCGTACTGAGCCAAAGGAAGGGGGACATTAGGTTACTAGTAGGGCTGCTAGCCGGGCATGGACCTATTAGGAAACACCTCAGAACCATAGGGAGGTCACAGACAGACGAATGCAGGTCCTGCGAAAATGAGGTGGAAACCTCTGAACACCTTTGGCTGAACTGTCCAGCGTTGGCCCAAAGAAGGTTCACATCTCTGGGAAGGCTGCACTTGGAACCTACAGAGATGAGGAAACTGGGTGTCCTTCAGCTCCTGGGCTATATCTGAAGCCTAGGGCTGTCAGATTGGACTTAAGGGTGCTACAATAGGCCATAAGGCCGAAGTAGCTAGGGGTAGCTGAATACCCCCACCCCATATAGGAAAAAAAACTATACATTCCATTTCCAGTTTTAAAATCAAAATCGTCATTCATTGTTGATGTAAGCCTCCGACAGATTGAGCTGATATAAGTTACAGATTTCTTTCGAATACACACATTTTTTTCAAATCAAACTGATGTACCTAACAACTTATTATGAGCTATAGCAACTGTTTCGACCTATTAGATATGTCAGCAACCAAAATAAGATAGCAAATTTAATTTTAGACACTAGTGCATTCTGTGCCTGGTCGACTCAACTGCTGATGTACCGGTAATTTAACAACTTATTATGAGCTATAGCAACTGTTTCAACCTATTAGATGTGTCAGCAACCAAACAAAGGTAAAAAATAGAATTTTTTACACTAGCGCATTCTGTGCCTGGCCGACTCTACTATGTTCTTTGACCAACTATGGCTTGAATTTCTAATACCCTTTATTATCAAACGTATCTAATGAAAAATAATTATTATTGTGTGATAAGGATTTGCTTAAAGGTATTTAGGGTTGTTACACTATTATGAGTTGTGAAACTGCTGTTGACTTTACTTATTATGTTGTCATATACATCAAACTTAATCTTGTGTATTATTCAACCTCTAAATTGTTTCAGAGTAGAATGTCCAGGTTACCACCTGGGTCCAAGCATGGACAGTCAATTGCGATCGAAGGAGTTTGTTTCTGAAAACATTATGTAAGCTTTTGTAAATAAAATAGTTTAAAACCTTCAAATGTCTCTCAAATCTTACTCTACATTCTGAAAATTCTTGAATTCGTTCTTGAGACAAAATAGTTTTTTGAGTAACTAGTGCTCGAAGTGGTACTTTACTGCACATGAGAGAAATGTTTATGCACAAGCCGCAGAGGCGAGTATAAAGTTTCCCAAGTGCAGCAAAGGCACTCTGCGCTCGTGTTACACATAACATTTTTCCTACAGTTACTTTAAAGCATGTAAATAACCAGTCTTTCAAACAGTAAGGATATACCTGTTTTATGTTTGGTTGAATCCAAGTGTTAAAGGAAATAGAATGTTAAATTGAAACAACAGGTTAAGTTGTAGTATCAATATTCAAAGGCTCTGAAACGCTGCACCAGGTGATCGTAGTCATAGTACCTATCTTTTAAACTCTGCACCAGCGGATCATAGTCGTAGTATCTTTAGTGTGGCCAACTTGTTTTCAAGCATACACGTATTGCATCCCTTTTAAAAGCACACTGTTTTGTGTTGGTTGGTTGTAATACTGGAGTGTGGCAAAGTAAAATGAGTGCAGCGAAAGTAAGTAAATAGTTATTTTCCTACAGTCACCCGACAAAGTTGGCTTCCCTGTACTGTTTATAGTACAGAAAGCTGCTAATTGCTGCATATTTATACTTTGCCGTACGGTTTATACTTTGCCGCACGGTTTATACTTTGCCGCACATCAGGATTCCAACAAAACAGCGTGGTTTTATTATGCACGTAATCCGTGTACGCTTGGAAATAGGTTGGCAACACTTAAAGATAACAATACTATGAACAGCTGATTGACTATTATAACTACGATTTAACCTGTCATTTCGTGTTTATAGTTTCGGTATTTCTGAACTTTCTGGACTTTTCTTTTAAACGTTTTTAAAACATTCCTACGGTCTTAATAAACAAGAAAATACCTTTAAAGCATTTTTTTAGGCGCGGAAACCACTTCAAATTACAAAAACATACGGAACTATATTCTCAAAAGACGGAGCACATTTCTTGCCGAGGAAAAATAGTGGAGTGATACGGACCACGGGTACTACTTTCTCCAGGGCACCATTTGTGTAATTGTGTTGCTAGCTGAACCTAAAAACGTGTTGTATAGTGTTTGAAAGACTAATTATTTATGTTTTATAGTGACTGTAGGAAAAATATAATGTGTAACACGAGTGAAAAAGGCCTTTGCTGCACTCGAGATCATTCCGCGTAAACATTGCTCTCGTGTGCAGCAAAGTGCCTTTCACCACTAGTTACACAAATAACTATTGTGTAACTAGTGGTGAAAGTGGCACTTTGCTGCACACGAGAGCAGGCGAGTTCGGAATGATCTCGAGTGCAGCAAAGGCCTTTTTCACTCGTGTTACACATTATATTTTTCCTACAGTCACTATAAATCATATAAATAATTAGTCTTTCAAACACTATACAACACGTTTTTAGGTTCAGCTGGCAACACAAATGGTGCCCTAGAGAAAGTAGTACCCGCGGTCCGTATCACTCCGCTATTTTTCCTCGGCAAGAAATATGCTCCGCGTTTTGAGAATATAGTTCCGTATGTTTTTGTAATTTGAAGTGGTTTCCGCGCCTTAAAAAAATGCTTTAAAGGTATTTTCTTGTTTGTTAAGATCGTAGGAATATTTTAAAAACGTTTAAAAGAAAAGTCCAGAAAGTTCAGAAATACCGAAACTATAAAGTGTTGCCAACCTATTTCCAAGCGTACACAAATTACGTGCATAATAGAACCACGCTGTTTTGTGTTGTTTCGTTGGAATCCTGATGTGCGGCAAAGTATAAACCGTACGGCAAAGTATAAATATGCAGCAATTAGCAGCTTTCTGTACTATAAACAGTACAAGGAAGCCAACTTTGTCAGGTGACTGTAGGAAAAGTAAGTTTTGAAGCTATCATTAAGTGTTAATCTTTGAGTAAACGTAGTCTATACAAAATGCAAAGCCCTCACTGACTGACTGACTGACTCATCACTGATTCCTTAGGTATTAAATACTAAAACGAAGTAGTTATACTCTGATCTGACTTTCGGGCTCCGCCCCAGTGGCTCTGGAGTTTTCTATGTTAAGTTTTCATATTTTAAAAGGAATTAATGAATCTTAACACCTGTTTCAATATATTTCAATAACACCAACAGGGTGCTGCACGAGCACTTTTAACTTTTTGTATGAATTTATAACAACCAGCAACAAAAGCTGTTATACACAACTAGCTGTAACCCACGGGCTTCAGCCTGTTTGACTTCATAAGTTAAAACTATTGATTGGTTAAGTTAAGCCGAAATAAACAAAACAAAATACAGTAATCCAAACAAATAGTCACACCTGATTTTAATAAGGTACAAATTGAAAGAATAACAAACAAATAAGTACAGCTGGGGTATTTTTAACATTAGGTTTAATTACGACATAAAGGGCAATTTATGAAATAATGGATAGTTTTGCGCAAGGTTTCTCGTCATAACATTTTGAAGTACCGGTATATGGTTTATGGGCGTGTGACTTGTAGTTTTGTCAAAAGTTTATGGGTACTTTGGGATTTGTTTGTGGATGAGAACTATTAAATACTAAATTGTTGTGGTATTTTGCGAATAGGGTCATTTTATTTTTAATTGCATAATTTATCAATTTATTGACTTTATTTTCCCCCCAAATTTGTATCAAAAATAATGTCTGGGAAACAGAGTAGTGGGTTAATAATTTTAGTGCATTACCTACTGATAAGTCAATGGCTTAAATGGAAGGAACTAATATTATAGATATGAATGTTTGGAGTATGTCAATAACGTGAAAACTGCTTGACCAATTGAGCTGTTTTTCCCATGAATAGAGCCGATATAACCACAGGCTTAAGAGTGAGCGAACAAAAAATTTTAGGATTTTTTATGTAAAAAGGTCCCACATTAGAGGAACAAATGTACACTGGTAAAATCTTTTTTAAACTTAACGTGTGATTTTGTAGCAGATTTGACACCAATTTGCAACCAGCCCTTTTCGAAGAAGTATTAGTATATATACATACACATCATACTGGAGATAGTCAATCTTTTATTTTAATATTATCCTAGGGCTCTGCCCTGACAACTTCAGTCCAAATGTTGTTCTTCTAAATAACCATGAAAAGCCACTTGAAATGCCACCCAACCCGGTACGGCAATCAATAGTTTTATTAAGACTTTAGGGGTCAGTACTTGGGCCAGTATTGTTTATATTATATATTAAAGATTTGCCTAATGCTATGCCTTGTAAAACAATTCTATATGCAGACGACACATCGTTTATTTGGCCTTCTGACAATTTTAACACAGCAATCCATGTAATTTATAACATGATTGGTATTGGTAATAGTTGGTTTAAGAGTAATTTTAAGACAAATGTAATATTTTTACTGATCCTGTTAAGGGGTAGGTTAGAATAGAAGAAAAGAGGCATAACCTTACCTTAGATTGTTATTATACAACCTTAGTGATAGTATTAGTAGTGATTTAACACAAAGGTCCCTGAATTCAGTGCACTTTAATACCATGTGAAGGTGCCAAGGTTAGGTTAGGTTAGAAGAACCAAGGCATAACCATAGATTAAACATACGGGAGTATGTTTAATCTATGGCATAACCTAAACCTTAGATTGTTATTTTTACATACAACCTATATATTAGTAGTGATTTTACGCAAAGGTCCCTGAATTCAGTGCACTTAAATACCATGTGAAAGTGCGATGAGTTTTAGTTGTCTTGGTGTAACCCCACAATTTAAATTTCCTTCAGCCTGAGAGAATCCTCATGGAAGTAATTTTGGTGAATTTTGATAGTGTAGGCCTATATCATAGCCATGTGGGATTGGGTTGAGATAGAGACCTTTACTTTGTCTGATATTTTTCTTTTGTAGAGGTCTTTAAATGAGTGTTTACTCGGTGGGGCTTTACATTTAAACATTTCAAGCTACTCCTGAAAATCATTTTGTTGGGAGCTTGGGCAAAATTGTCACATCAACCAAAAGATTTCCTTTTTGCCATACAAAGAAGGAAAGAAGTGCAGAGTTGAGTTTTTCTGGTGCAACCAATTGGAAAAAGAGGTGGTCTTCGTACATTTGTCCAACCCTGTAGAATATTTAACACTGCTTGTAAAACACATGAAATAGATCTTAAGTAAATTTATGTTCGAACAAAGTCCTTAAACAATGATTCAAAAACAAATTAAGTTCTGATTTTTGAATGCCTATTCTTTAAGTAAAATTGTTTAAATATTTCAAGAAAACCCTAGTACCTTTGGATCATGGAAAATAAATTGGAAAATAAATTAACTGTGAAATTGAATTTTTATTAAATAACCAAACAGTGTTTTAAATAATAGGTAGTATAACGGTTTGGAAAATAATTGAATGGAAACAGATATAAAAGAAAACATTAACTTTGACCAAATTACAAACCAATAAGTTTATAAAAAGTACAAAAAGTCATTTGTTGAACATTCAACTTATAATACAGATTGTATTTGAGTCACTAACATCTAAATAAACTTAGTTTGATACAGTTAGTTAACTTGGACCGCTGTCACTTACATAAATAATACTTATTACTATTGCAGAACAGAACTTGCGAGTCAAGAAAAAATAATACATAAGTACTATAAACAACCCACCCTTAACATACAAGTCTTACATTCGTTATCGAGCAAAATTGAAGCATAACAAGACAAGATAAATTCTCAGAATATTCCAGTATAGCCGACAATAAGGAAGCACATTCCAACAAATCAATTTATTCTGCAAATATTCTGCGATTAAACATGAAACTTTAGCTTAACACAACATGAACAAGATTTGAAGGCATCAATTATTTTTTATAAATTATAACACAATGTTTACAAATAAGAAGACTTGACAATAGAAAAAGTAGAAAACTCAAAAGCGAAGACAGCGATTCACCACAGGCCGGAGGAAAAGCCGCCGGGAGGCACACGCTGTCTAGAGGGCGGGGCGCTGGTGGCTGATGGGGCTGCAGGAGTGACAACGGGGGCGGCTACTGGAGCTGGAGCAGACGATGACCCGTTCACTACTGGCTCTGCCTTGTCACCATTGGTGGTCGCCACGTGGTTTTCTATACAAAATCGACACACTTGTAAGTTTGAATCTACAGCAATTGATTTGGGTAATACATCACTAAAATTTCTATAGCAAGAATGAAGAGATATTAATTCTTGTAACAGAGGTAAAATTCCTATTTGGTTTTGTTTTGTTATAGGTTGTTTTTTCACAAGTGGAGGATTTCATAAGTTTTCATTATAAAAAACATTAAAATAGAGTTAACAAGATGTCAGTTAACCCAATAAAACTCATTTTTCCTTTAATGTATGTTGAACATAAAGTAAACAAATCAACCGAGCGGAACTTGTAGCCACAGTAGTAGTCGACTATTTATTTGATTATGTTTTGTCTAAATCTACATTATGTTTGTGTATATGTGCTTATTGTTTTTAGGACCTCAGTATAATTGAAGAGAGATATTCTTGACAAGGATCCAAAGAAGGTGATAGGCCCGCCGCACAGTGAAGCGAGGTGGGACAGACGTTTCCTAGCTTTGGTCTTTCTGTCGCGAGAAGGAGAATGATTTTTTGGACCTTTGTTAGTTCTGATTGTGAGTTTAAAATTTAGTTTAACTCTATTCGCTATCCAAAAAATGTAAAAACTGTTTTGGGAAATGTGATTACCATACACGAAAAAAGATTAAGCCATGGAGAGTATTTTTTAACTACTAGGAAAACTGTATTCCAACTACAACGCCGCGGAGGCCTGACAGAGGCTTGCGCGCAGCTTCTGCTCAATGTGCGGTGCTCTATTTAAACATGTGTACCAGAATCATCCGTGCCTCGCCTGAACCTAGCCTGCACCTCGCCTCGCTCCAATGTGCGGCGGGCCATATAGTTGCCAAAAAGATCATCTTACATCCTTTTCCTTAGAGGAGGTATTAGACATCACTAGGTATTAGACATCAAGGTAAATTAACCTCTTATTTATATGTACAAGTTATTCAAATCTACACATAAATGGGAATATTTTACAACCTTTCATGCAATTTTTGAATACATATCAAACATGAAAGTACTAAAACTTTATTTTGTAAACCATAATTATTAAAAATCCCTCCTCTTCAGTTATTGGTTTTGTTTTAACCTTGAAAATAATTCAAATGTACACACCATTTTTGATCAAGATTGTATCAAGACTGTAGAAAAGAGACACTACCGGTACTACTAAACTAACAGAAAATAAAAAGTAACTAAAGAAACACATAATACACAAAATCTTACAAATAGATTCGCTACAATATCCAATTAGAGTTAAGAAGAGTTACTGACAACATACTGTACCTGTTTGACAGTTAACACCTTGGATAGACATAGAAGGAGCGTAACAGTAAAATATTACCTGATGTAACCGACGATGATCTCCAAACACTAAGACTTGTTACAGTTATATGGGTTTCTGTTTACACGCATAACACAACACCTCTAGAAGCCAAGCAAGCAACTAAGTTATGTTCCATTCACACCACAACCAATTTACTGTCTGACAACGTATGGAAAGTCATTTCTCCCATGTTCACCTTGCCTAAATGATTGATTCTCCTAACCCTAATAGAGCTACTACCATAAATAGGTTTCGTCTTGTCTAAGACTTTGGATGTTTTGGACAGCCAGCTTGCACACAAATGCTGCTCTGGCCATATTTAACGCACACAAACATGTCACGACATGTTAATGTAGCACTTTTCATTTCATACAGATGATATTATTGGTACAGTAATCTGTTATTGTTTAGTATTGAGTTGTTCAATAATTTTCACAAGCAATTTTTTTATTTTAAACAAATCCAATAGTCCCAGTTAGCTGTCCTGGATTATCAGGCTTTTAAGTATTGGTCCTGGTTAGAGAATATGTTACTCAGTGGCGGATCCAGTTTGCCCCCCCTCTGGCATACGCATACATATACATAATACATATATTTTTTGACTGCATATAATACAGTAGTGCATACAAATTGCGTAAAGTAATTTGTGACACTAACGTTGGACAAAGAAATGGTATAAAACTGCCATTTTGGAGACTTAGTTCACACACATTTTTTTGGGGGGGGGGCACCCCCGATTCCCAGACACCCCTGGTTCAGCCCCCCCCCCCCCTTGAGGCTGGTCTAGATCCGCCACTGACGTTACTATATTAATTTGAAATGGCGAACATAGAAAAGGTAGTTATTTTCAAGTATGAATAGTGTTGAGTGGCATGATCTTGTAGTCTTCTTGTTACTGACTATAGGCCGACATGTTCCTTAGACAGGACTAATTATCAATACAGCCAATGGCAACTAAGGGACCTACAGTTTATAGTGGAATCCGAACCACATTTTTGCATTGTAATTTACAAATTGGTCTAATTATCAGGATAGTTTTTTTTAGTCATAGTACTCATTAGTGCAGACATTAAACAACCGATATTTTTCAGTAACAGGCTACTAGGTTTTCTCACCCCATTGTACACAATACTTTTTTCATATTCGACTTTGACAATTACCAAAGCATACATCACTGTATTTTGTGATTATCAAATAGTTAGTTAACTTGTTGACTTAAAAGCTGAATTGAAAGGTGTTTTTCACAAACATTAAACCTAAGGATTACATTAAGTTTTCAATCTGTACCTACGTTATCAATTCTAACTGATTCCTTTCTGTTTGTTGTCAGACAATATAACTACCGGATGCAAATGTTTCAAGCAAGATTAACTTAGCATTGATGATTGGGATTCAATTTCCACTAAGATTTGGGGATGTATAAAATAGCTGCTTGTATGGGAAAAAAATTTGTAGTACAAAGAATTGCTAAAACCAAACTGGTTTATGGAAAATTTCAGAAAGCATTTTGGCATTGTTTAGAAAACTATAAATTTTGTAGTAGAAATTATTTTGTAGGCATAATTTAAATTTTAAGATGATTAAAACCTTGAAAAAATTACTTAAGGGGAGTCGCTACTGAAACTAGTGATTTTTAATAAAATCCTTTTAAAAATTATCATATATACTTTTTTAAGTTCATTTAGTCTTAGAAAAAGATTTACTGCTGTTAAAGTAAAAAAAAAAAAAATTTTACATACTTTTTGGAGTTTTTTAAGTTTTTTGGCGGGGAAAAATGGGGTTTTTTAAATCTCTTATAACTATTTAACTACTGAACCAATTTTATTGTTCGATATCTTATTTTAAAGAGCAAGGAAAGCACATACTTTCTGTGCATACTCATGTTATTTTCTCAATTAGTTTATAAGTTATGGCTTCAAAAATAAGTTTTTGAAAAATTTATAGGTTATAAATTTTTAAAATTTGTTTTTCATGTACTTTTATTTACCCAATTACAATATCCATGCACAGAAAGTTGATTTATAGTATAAACAATGTGTGGTAAAAATTTCATTCATATAGCTGCAATAGTTAAAAAGTTATAAGAACTTATATATATAAAAAAACAAAATTTTAAAGTCGCGGAAAACAGCGGTTGAAGTTTATACGTTGGTTTATACTAGGCCTAGTTGATGCCCCAAAAGAGGTGTGCGCGCTTCACTTCAAATATTTTTTTCACAGTTAAAAAAATATATATTATACCAAATGTTATGTTTTTCTGAAACCTTACAATCCATAGAACAAGATAAAAAAATAATAAAAAAAATCAAGTTTTTTACAAAATTGGTAGTTTTTCAGTAGCGACTCCCCTTAAGAGTGTGAAGAGTGTTTATATTCAAAGCAAAAATAATCATTTTAGTAACAATAAAAAACCTCAGGTATAAAATATATATTGCAATGTCAAGCAATACTAAATACCTTTTAGAAATCCAATCATCAATACAATAAACACTTTTTCATCATGCATAGTGAAAGAAAAGCAAAAAAAGTATGTTTCTGTTATAAGAATAAAAAGCATGAACTACACAAACAAAATAAGTAATTAAGTAGTTAAGATGCATTGTTATTAATATACCTTCACCTTGACAATAATTAACAGATAAATAAGTTACCAATCCTGAAAATGGCAAAGAGGATAAGATTATCAACTGTCGTCAGTGATTGTACAAAAATGTACAATAAATTGAATGTAATTGAATAACAAAGCTTAGCTTGAATAACAAGTTAGCTAACTTTATTCCTTAAAAAAAACTTAGTTAGCCAAATCACATTATCTTCTAATATAACCTCAAGAAAATCTATTAGCATTGAGTAATCCAGGTCCTTACAATAATTCAACAAATAGACAAAACACATCTTTGTTTAGGCAGGTACATGTCCCTGTAATTAAAAAGTTAATTTGATACCTTTATGCAGTTTTTAGATCCAAAAAGAGAAATGGTCTACTCTGATAATTTGATAGGTGATCAAATTTAGTAAGATGGCTTATTACTGTACAAAAACCTCATTTGGTGTGTAGTTCCAATTTAAACTGTGACATATTAAATTGCAATTTCTGAAAAGCATGATAAGCAATGCATATGATGGAATGATAAAAATAAAAATGCAATATGTTAGTGTGCATGAATCCAAAGCAATTTGCACACCATGATAATATTATGTACAAAGCGGTGGTAAATAATGAAAAAGAACATAGCAAGTCCACAAGGAGCCAGATTTAATTTTAAATAATTTAAGTTTTTAAGCACTATAACACCTTTATTTGGTTGTGAAATTTCTTAATAACTGAAATATTTACTCAATGAGCCAAATTTGGTCATCAAATAACTGTCGACAGTCAAGCTATCAAAATTGGCTTTGTAATACAGGATTATGTGGTCATTTGGTCAAACAATAGGCTACACAAAAAGGTGCAATGGTATTCATTGGCAGGTTGGTAGGTAGTGCGATATGGCAATAGGCTGTTAAATCAAAACAGCTATGTCGTGGGGTCCTGATGACACCACTAAAATGTATAAGTTTAAATCATCCTTATACTGCACCACCGGCTCACCCATTGCTTTGCTTGACAATTTTCCACACACAGCCCCAAGGCCTGTGTGGACAAACAAACACAAGGTTAAAAGAGGCTAGCAACTCGGGGACCTCAGGGATCAAAGTCCCGCGCTCTAAGAAATAGACCAGCATGAATGGTTGTTTAAAAAAACGCTAGACTCAATGACCACTCAGTGACAAAACAACAAACTCTTTTTCAAGTGGACTTGCTACGTTTCAACACCCTTACCTTCTTTCTCCTCTACTCCGTTACTATGTACATCCTCAGTCACCATATTATGTACACCGTTCACCCCGTCTCCTTCATCCACTGTTTCTCCATTGTTCTCTGTCTTATCCTCATCGGGGAATGTCAAAGATTTCTTCGCGTCCGTACTAACGTCCTCCATAATAATATTACTCTTAAACTTGTCCTTGACTGCTGTTCCAGGTCTACTCAGGCTCTGGGGTTCTGCACCAAACAAATTGTAAAATGAATCGTTACCAGCTTTCCTCGCCGGTGTTTGGCTCTCTTCGCCGCCGAATATTGAGGAGGTCAGGTGGTTTCTTGTTTTCCGCTGTTGTGGTTCTGGGTCGTTAGTGGTTCCGAAAATGTCGCTGCTTCCACCACCCGGGGGCTTCAGGACCCTGAAACAAAACAGATGATTTGTAGAGCTTTGTACATATGAGTGATAGTTCCCAGTTCGGCACTTGATGATCTATAATATACTATAATATTAACTAATAATATACTGTGTGGACAATTATTATACCTGACATGGTGGAGATAAACCTAGCCTTTAACCATCATGAAGCATGTGAATATATCTACTGTACTATCTTTTTTCTTACAAATACTTACTTACTGCCGTGGCTCTTGGTACCCAAGGAGGTACTTTGCCTCGCCAACACACTGCCTCCAGACTGCACGATCCATTGCTTCATCCTCTCTTCTTCCCATTCTTCTCAGATCTCTTCTCACTTGATCTCTCCACCTCAACTTGGGCCTTCCAGGAGGTCTTCTACCCTCGGGATTGTTGTTTAGGGCGTTTCTCACTAAGGATCCCTCTTCCTTTCTTAACACATGGCCTGCCCATCTCAATCTCCTACTTCTCACCTCAGCCACAATATCTGGGTCCCTGTACAACTCTCTCAACTCCCTGTTGTGCTTAACTCTACATTCTCCGTTTTCAAAGGTTGGTCAAAAGATTTTCCTTAGAATCTTGTTTTCGAACACTATAAGTCGTTTCTCAGTTCTCTTGCTTATCACCCAATTCTCTGAGCCATATAGTAATACTGGTCTTATTATAGTTTTGTATATACGGATTTTAGTTTTCTGTGAGAGTAGGCGAGAACTCAACAATTTGTGGCATGCCGATAAACTTTTATGAGCTGCATTTAATCTTTGCTGAATTTCAGAGTCTTCCTCATTATTAACTGTCAGCATTACTCCTAGGTAAGAGAAATTGTTTACTTTATAAAATTTGTGTCCTTCTATTTCTACATGATTCTTATTATTTAATTGGATAGCTCTTCCACATTCCATTATCTTGGTTTTGTCTACATTGATATTTAAGCCAACTTTTTTAGTGTGGTTTATGAGTTTTGAGACCATAACTTTTAGTTCTTCTTCGTTTTTGGCCACAAGTGCCACATCATCTGCAAATGCCAGGATATTAATGTTGGTTCCCATAGTAATTCCAGCTTCTAGCTTTTGTAATTCTTGTAGAGAGTCTTCCAGAGCTAGGTTGAATAACAATGGGGACAAACCATCTCCTTGTCTCACACCAGTATTTATATCAAAATCCTCTGAGAATTCTCCATTGACTTTAACCTTGCATTTAGATCCTGAAACAGTTGACTTTGATAGATTTATTAACTTTTTAGGTATTCCATACTTTTCCATTACTTTCCAGAGTTTTCCCCTAGTGATCGAGTCGTATGCTTTGGAGAAGTCAATGAAAAGGCAGAGAAAGGATTTGTTGAATTCATAATATTTTGCAATTGCCTCTTTCAATATAAAAATTTGATCCGTGGTTGATCTTCCTCTTGTGAAGCCGGCTTGATGGTCTCCTATGATATTTGATGTATACTTCTCTAGTCTTTTTTGTAAAATCTTTGATAATACTTTATAGGTGCAGTTAAGGAGGGAAATTCCTCTGTAATTGGTGCATTCTTTTTTGTCTCCTTTCTTGTGAATGGGAATGATAACTGCTTCCTTCCATTCATTCGGAATCAATTCGTTGTCCCAAATATCAATGATCAGTTTGTGGATCTCCCTTGCCAGTTCTGTGCCTCCTGCTTTGATTACTTCCGATGGGATAGAGTCCTCCCCTGGGGGTTTATTATTTTTTAATTCCTTGATGGACGTTTTTACTTCTTGAATTGTTGGGTATGGTACAATTGGATCTACATTCTGGTACACTTCCTCCTCTTCTTCTTCTTGTTCAGACTGTCTTACATTCAAAAGATCTTTAAAATGTTCCTGCCATACTTGTAGTCCTTCTTTGTTCTGCACCACCAGTTGTCCTGATTTGTTTTTAATCCCATATGGCATTGGACTGTATCCCTTCCTAAAAAATCTTATTGATCGGTAGAAGTCTCTACTGTTGTTTGCTGTCCTGTCTTGTTCAGCTTTCTCTAAGATTTGGTTTACCCATTCTCTTTTTTTCCTCCGAAGTACCTTTACTGTCTCTCTTGAGATTTTTGTGTAGTTTTCTCTATCTCTTTCTTGTTTCTTATTGAGCCAGACTTCTTTTGCTTTTTTCCTTTGTAAGACATTAGCTTTACATTCTTTACATTTTTCTTACAAATACAAGTACAATTTTATAAAATTGTCTGTACTCTTAAAAAGGATATCCAGTTTCACTTACTTTTCAATGTAGTAGGTAGTTCATCAATGAAAAATGTATTTTAATGTAAATAGTCTGAGTCCCTTTAAAAGAAAAATACATCAGTTGATTGATATATTTTACATGTTTTAATGAATGGATAGTTTTGGGTAGTTTGGATAGTTTTCAAATTGAAATAGATCGATCTCAAGTAAAATCTTTTTTGATACCTAGTTACTGGTTTTTGATGAGTTATCAATTACAACACTTCCTAACAGATACTAATAAATAATAACAAGACCACGATACTATAAAATATGCAACAAATTGGACTGGACTGATCCCCATTAAAAAGTAAAAACACAACTGCTGTTCAGATAGCCTATAAACAACAGAATCATAAATATATGAGTTCAGTTAAGTAAATGTAGATGTTTCACATAAAAGTTAAAGGTAAATACAAAACAAGTTTTCAATATCATACTCTTAACATTACCTCTTACTGATACCTGTGCAATCTGACCACTCGGTGCCGAGACATTTAAACTTAAAGCTATAACTTTGATACAATCTATAGACCTAGGCGCATCGTTTTTAACAAACTTGAGAAACTCTTACGGTTTTTTTAAGTCATACTAAGGAAGGAGGAGGAGGTGTTGTTCCTTCAACACAAAGCACCTCTGGTTGAAGAGGAAGTACATAATGAATGAAACCAGTAGAGAGTAGCATTGTTAAAATCATGAAGCCTAACCTGTGATGACTAGGAGTTCCGTTGAACGAAGCTCCCCATAGATCATGTGATTCACCGCCTGGAGGTTTCATCTTTCTACACCATAAAAAATACTCTTCATCCACCAATCTTTGGTAGGGATGAGCCAACCTCAAGCTCCAAGATTATGGTTATTTTTTGCAAAGCCACTACTAAACCCCCACAAACAACCGTTTTCTAGTTTGGTTTATACGCTTTTTAAAAAGATGTTTTAAGTTATCTGATTTCACACTCGACTCGATTTCAGGCACAATTTCAGGAATTAGTTGTCTAACGGTTTGTATGATTAGTTTTTGCTATAAGCTACCAAAAATTAATTCGCAAGATGAATTCATCTATGTCTAATTACAATTTTGTGATTTGTAGAAACACCAACTTTTAAACTAATCCCTCCAGAATGAACAAATGTTTTATGTTGTAACATTTTATTCACCTTTCACTAATTTGGAAAATTGGTTATTAAATATATATTGGTAATTGTAATATCAAAGAAATAACCTAACAATATTGTTCACAATTTTTAAATGCCTAAATCTTTGTGGTAAAAACTAACAAAAAATAGTAAGACAATACCAAAATTATCGAGAATTAAAGAGTATTCAGCAGAAAGTACTGTAGTTTGGAAGTAGAGCAACTTTTATGCAATGTCAATGTTAACATCCCTCAGCCCAGCAACCACTTGAAGCATGGATAAGATAGAGGTAAGAATTTTCAAGCTAGCAAGAAGAAGAAGCAACTTTGGCTGATGCTAACTATTTGGGTTTTTACAAGGAAGATGGAGGTGGAATGTAATGAGCAACCATTCCAATTAAGCTGGAGACAGCTAAATTTGGAGCATTCAAATTGTTTAAACATGTTTTAGGGAAAAATCCTTTAATTAAAGCATAAATGAGGCATTGCAATGTTATTTTGACCTACCAAAGCTGTTGTTAACAACATTGTTGAATTGTTTTCTAAAAAGGTTCTTATAAATAATAAAAGATTCAAAAAATAATTCACTTGTGAAATGATTGTTTCTGATCAAATTAACTTGCATATTTTAAGGAAGCATTAAAAATTAACATGTCATTTTAAGAATAAATTGTACAATAAGTGCATTTTATGAAGAACAAATCTTTTTGAATACGTTCTTGATCAGAAAAAAAAATTTTAGAACACTCTCAATATGAACATGCATTTTATTTCATGAGTTTATCAAGTAAAAATTACAGTACCAGCCAATATATTAATGAAATGTGTGATAGATCATAGACAAATTTTGAAACTCGGTAATTGGAGTTCTACATGTTTTACCACACAAACACAATTTTAAAGTGTTCAGATTTTTGAATAACTAATGTTTCAGCCCTAAAATTAAGCACATTCTTTCCCTAATGCAAGAATACTAAACCCCAAATCTCCACATAAAAACTACACTAAAAAGCACACAATAAGCTGAGAAGTGACAAAAACTTCATTATGAATTCCTACACAGTGTGAAACCGAGTCAAAACTCAAGACCACCAAGCACCACTACAACCATGCACTGATGCACTGCACTATCGCCGAAAGTCATAATATTGCACTGCAACTAGTGCCACTATGATATCGTCGACGTGCAATATCGACGATCACTACCAAGTTACCTAGACGCCATGTTGGCCGGGCGGACTAGCACACACTGCAGGTCGCCCACATAACCACAACCAGTTCCCGAGGATTTGACCCGCGCCCGCGGGAGTTATGACTGACGGGTCATCACACACCCGCCAAAAAGCACCGCCCGGTGTTAAATTACACTGATTGACTATGCTTTTGTTTTAACGTCGGTACTTTATAAGTAGTTTAATTGCAGAGAATGAGAGATTAGTGGCACTCATACCTAGTACAAGGTAAATATTTATAACAGGGTCATTATTTTGTTTGTGTTTAGCCCACGATCATTTCCACTTTTTAAGAGTAATAAATGGCCCGCAGGTAATTACAACTTTAAAATGTTCACATACGGTAACGGTGCGGTGAAATGGACTAATCTGAGAACGGCTTTGACTACCACCTACCACTCATTG